CCCGCCCCTCTGATGTCCCATCTCTCAACCCCCCCATCATTCAAACCCGCCCCCTGCCGGCCCAAGGTCCACCTTCCAGTACTTTGGCCTTGACTTTCTGGTGGACGCCTCGCTGCACCCATGGCTCATGGAGGCCAACGCAACGCCCAGCATGAAGGTGACGGCACCGCATGCATGCCAAGAGGTTCAATGAGTACTGCTAGTGGCAGCCACGACTCACTTTGCTGGGGGCAATACTTGATCGCGACCCACCGCTCTTAGATATTGCACATCTCAGCCATGTGCCCAAGCACGACATTGATCTGCTCTCAGCAGGGCAGCCGGGTGTTCTGCCGGCGCGCTAAAATCCTGCCTCGCCCCCTCGTGGGCGTACCGCCAGCCCACAACTCGCCCCCCCCCCGCCCACCTGCTGCGCCCAGGTGGCCCACGAGGACCCCGCCACGCAGCAGGTCATCCACGACGCAAAGTGGCCGGTAGTCAGGGACATGTTCACGCTGCTGCAGGTCGGGCCGCAGAGGTTCAACCAGGTGTGCGTCGTTGGGTTTGTCACAAACAATTGGGCACCAGGGCTGTGAGTGTTGAGGTGCTTTGCTAGGCTCGCTGCGGCAGTTCCCTGGCTGATGTTGCGATGTGCGTTGATAAGATTTCAGTGAGCTTAGTACCTCGTGGTTGTTGTTGATGACCTCGTAATTGTTGCTGATGGTGCTGCTCAAAAACTCATGAAGCATTCCTGGCGCTTGTGCATGCTGCAGGAGGCCACTGGCCACGAGGCGACCATCCCCGAGGTGGAGGCCGAGCTGCAGCTGCGCGGCGGCTTCTTCCCTCTTATGCACCTGTTCCCTCGCGAGGAGGACACCCCCGGCCTCAGCATACCCTGGACCCCCGCAGACGCCAGGCTGAGGGAGTGGATGGCCAGCAGCAGCACGTACCAGACAGCAATCGCAGGCGGCTGACTGGGTTTGCTGTTGTCTGTATTTATTTGGTTTTCCTGGGCGCTGCAAAATGTGTCCCTGGCCATCTGCATGATTTTGAGCTGCATTCTGTTGTTTCACCATGTGCATTTATGCTGTTTGAGGGGGATGGAGCTGCGGTTTGGGGCTGTTTCCACCCACAAGCGCACGTGTTGTGTGTTCAACAGGAGCGCTGGGAAGCTACAGGGGACGTGGCGCTCTTGCCTTGCGGACCGCCGCATGTGTAAAGCGTGCGTGCAAGCGGCCTGTCCCCCCAGCAAATCTCAGGGTGGGATCAGATCCGCGTGCAGGAAAACGTGCATGGCGGCAGACGCGAACTTGAGCAATGGGTGTTGTGCGTGGGCGATGATCACTTGGGTGACAACTACAGGGGGGGCAGGCCTATCCTGATAAAAAAAACTAAAAAAAGCGCATGCATCGTGTCCTCCCCCCCCCCAGCGTCAACGTTGCTTCAACCGCAGCCCCTAGATTCACCTGATAAAACGCCACGCACAGCAAACAGAGACACTGCATACATCAGATGCAGTTCCTCCTTGGAAAAACCGCCATCCAGCACGAGCAGGCTTTGATCCTAGTGTAACATGGGCATGAAAATCAATACGATGTGCAGTGACTTCAAGCCCATGGCTCAACTTGCCACGATGTGGTATGCATCGCCAAGCACCACTGCGGCAACTTCATCACCGGTCACGCTTTGCACTACTCATCGGCGGCCGCTCGTTGACCGGCCGACCCGGTACAGGTTTTGGCTGGTGTTTGCTCACACCCCACTACCTTTCTTCTGAAGCACTTCATTGTTGCTTCACCACACTTTCACTCACAACAGAGGGCTTCCAAGCCATCCACAGTCATCATGTCAGCGCCTGCCATCGGCATCGACTTGGGTGAGCAGAGTACAAAATAGTGTGTATACATGTGCTCTGGGCGCCCAGCCGCCGCATCAGGGGCCTATGGAGGCAGCGACAGAACGTGGCGCGCGCGCGGCGCGGCAGTGGCAGCCTTCCAAGCCGAGCGTCACAGCTCTATACTTAATAACGCATCAAAATCTGCATGCGGGCCGGTTTGGGGTCGAACAAGTCGGTTCTTCTCAGAAGCACCTTCTGGATCACCCGACCGCCAGCCCCGTGCGGAGCGCATGGAGCCGATCCAGCAGCGGAGATGCAAGGATTTGATTTTATATGGCAGCTTCGGCGACTTTCAGCGCACACACGGCTGCGGGAAGCTCCACTCTGCGGTGGCGGCACACGGCCCCAGCGCCTGCTGCGGCGGCCGCCCTCATGCCATGCCGCGCACAGCATGTGTTGCCCCCAACACTGAGATTGCGTTTCAAACTAGACATACTCACGCCTCGTGCTGATCGCTCCCCGTTTGCTCCTCAGGCACCACGTACTCGTGCGTGGGTGTCTGGCAGAACGACCGCGTGGAGATCATTGCCAACGACCAGGGCAACCGCACGACGCCCTCCTATGTCGCGTTCACCGACAGCGAGCGCCTCATCGGCGACGCTGCCAAGAATCAGGTGCGCGCCGTCGGCAGCGCTGCGAGCAGGCGCAAGGGACACTGGATTGTTCGGGGTTGTGATCGGAGGAACTGCAATGAGCGGGACCAGGCGGCGCCTGTGGCCGCGCCGTCCACGAGCCCCGCCGCGCCGCGCCCCGCCGCGCCCGCTGCTGCCCTCAGGTGGCGATGAACCCCAAGAACACGGTGTTTGACGCCAAGCGCCTGATCGGCCGCCACTTTAGCGAGTCGGTGGTGCAGGACGACATGAAGCACTTCAGCTTCACCGTCAAGGTGCGGCAGCGCCGGCGGCCGCGGGACGCACGCGCAGGGCTGCAATTTGCCGCCCCGACAAGGCGCAGCTCGGCGGTTACCGCCCTTTTCGGACGAGCAGGGTGTGCTTGGCAGGGCGCGCGGCTAGGTGAGCACGAGTCTCTGCAGGCGAGTATGTGATTTCACGCCTGTTGGCCCCCTGCTGCCCCACGAATACTCCACCAGGCGGGGCCCGGCGACAAGCCCGTGATCGAGGTCCTGTACAAGAACGAGAACAAGACGTTCAGCCCCGAGGAGATCAGCGCCATGGTGCTCACCAAGATGAAGGAGACCGCCCAGGTGGGGGACAGGGGCGGCGGGCGTGGCAGTTTGCGGGGGCAGGGCCAGCGGGCAAGGCCGGTGGCCGGCCGGGGTCCCACCATCAGCATGTGCAGTCCAGCCGGTCTTGTGTGTGGTGCAGAGTCCGCGCTGGGGGCGAAACGCAGCAGAGCTCTCTACGGGCTGCGCCACCTCCAGCCTTCTCCTCGCCGTCCAAACAACCATGATCCCCCCTCACCCCGCCGCCAACCCGCCGCCCTGCGCCCGCCCTCCCAGGAGTTCCTGGGCGCCGAGAAGCCCGTGAAGAAGGCTGTGGTGACCGTGCCCGCCTACTTCAATGACAGCCAGCGCCAGGCCACCAAGGACGCCGGCATGATCGCCGGCCTGGAGGTGCTGCGCATCATCAACGAGCCCACGGCGGCCGCCATCGCGTACGGCCTGGACAAGAAGACCGCGGGCGGCTCGGACGGCGAGAAGAACGTGCTCATCTTCGACCTGGGCGGCGGTGCGCGGCGACGGGCGGCGTTCTGCATGTTTGGGCGACGGCATGGGCGGGGAATGCGACGCCGTGGCTCCTTTGTGCCAACGTGGCCAATCTTCTTTTCTGTTGTGATGGCAAGGTACAAGGTATGGCACCCACATTTGTGCCTCACTGGTTGAGCCCTGCCCAAACCTCGTCGCCCTCCCCAGGCACGTTCGATGTGTCCATCCTGTCCATCGACGACGGCATCTTTGAGGTCAAGGCCACCGCCGGCGACACCCACCTGGGCGGAGAGGATTTTGACAACAGGTGCGGGCGGGGCCGCGGGGGATCCCCGCTGACGTCAGCCGCGTGGTCGCGTGTTGCGGGCTGCTCAGCGCAGCGCCTCTCGAGCTACCCCTGGTCTTCGGGTGCTTTGCAGCAGCCCACACACGCCGCCCCAGCCCTTGCTCGTCACCCACTCAGTTCCTCACCCATGCCCCCACCCCCACACCCCCCTGGAAATCCCCCCAGGCTGGTCAACTTCTTCGTGCAGGAGTTCAAGAGGAAGAACAAGAAGGACATCAGCGACAACCCACGCGCCCTGCGCCGCCTCCGCACCGCCTGCGAGCGCGCCAAGCGCACGCTCAGCAGCAGCGCCCAGACCTCCATCGAGCTGGACTCGCTGTACGAGGGCATCGACTTCTACTCCTCCATCACGCGCGCGCGCTTCGAGGTGCGCCTGCCCGCCTGCCCGCCTTTTCTGCAGCAAGCCGCCGCGTGTTTCAATTTGAGCCCGTATGCATGCCGCCTGCCAGCCTTGCGTTTCTCGGGCCGCCTCGTTCGTCTTCACCGTGGTCTTGAATCCGCGTCGAACCTGCACACCCGCCCCCCTCTTGTTCTGCCGGCCGCCTCGCCCTCCCCCCACATGCTCTAATCATACTCTTTGCCAAACCGCTGCCGCCGCCGCCATCATTTGAACCACGCATTGGAACCCCGCAGGAGCTGTGCATGGATCTGTTCCGCAAGTGCATGGACCCCGTCGAGAAGTGCCTCAAGGACTCCAAGATTGACAAGGCCGGGGTGCACGAGGTCGTGCTGGTGGGCGGCTCTACGCGCATCCCCAAGGTGCAGCAGCTGCTGCAGGACTTCTTCAACGGCAAGGAGCTCTGCAAGTCCATCAACCCCGACGAGGCCGTGGCCTACGGCGCCGCCGTGCAGGTGCGGCGGCCTCACGTGTGTACTTGTGCACGCGTGCGGCGGTGGGCCCCACTTCACACCGTGCGAATCGGATTTCGCAGGGTCACAAACGAGAGCCTTTTTTTTGCCAAAGCAGACCCCGACGGACGCCCTCACTCACTCTTGCCCGCTTTCCCCATTCCCCTCCCCCATCCAAACCAGGCCGCCATCCTGACGGGCCAGGGTGGTGAGGCGGTGCAGGACCTGCTGCTGCTCGACGTGGCGCCCCTCTCCCTCGGCATTGAGACGGTGCGCATGCCCGGCCCCGCCGCCGAGCTGCCACTTCAGGCCCCGGCTGCTCCGCTCCCACCTGACTGCGCGACGCCGCCCTCTGCACGCGCCGCAGCCTGGTCCTGTTGCCAGCAAAGTGCGTGCCACCCCGTTATGCTGGGTCTCTCCTCTACAAGCGCAGGGGCAACGTGGGCTTTGTCATTTTCGCCCTCGCTGATGTCACCACCCGCCTCTCACCTCATTACACACCCACACCACCCCCCAAATGCCCGCCCCCGCAGGCCGGCGGCGTGATGACGGTGCTGATCCCGCGCAACACCACCGTGCCCACCAAGAAGGAGCAGGTGTTCTCCACCTTTGCAGACAACCAGCCCGCCGTGCTCATCCAGGTGCGTGCGCACGCACCCCACCCTCTCCCCCCGCTTCTTCCGCGTGAATCGCCCCTCCCCCGCCAGCCCCCATTTCTGAAAACAGCTTGTGCTCTTCCCCTCTGTCCGCCACGCACAGTCACACACGGCCCGTCAACCCCTCTGCCTTCCAACTCGAATCTTAATTCCACAAACCAAACGTCCCTTTGCATCCTCCCCCACCTTTCTCCCACCCCCTCAGGTGTACGAGGGCGAGCGCAAGCTGACGCGCGACAACCACCTGCTGGGCAAGTTCGAGCTCACCGGCATCCCGCCGGCGCCGCGCGGCGTGCCCCAGATCAGCGTGGCCTTTGACATCGACGCCAACGGCATCCTGAACGTCAGCGCTGAGGACAAGACCACCGGCAAGAACGCCAAGATCACCATCACGGTGTGGAGGGGTGGGGGACACGCGCTCGTGCTTGGCCGCCCCTGCTTGTGCAACGCGCGGGCCGCTCCCTTTCTCCCCGCCCGCCGCCTGCTGGCGCGGCGGGCCGGCGACCTCCCCGCTCCCTTGCACAACCGTCCGCTGCTGCGTGTGTCCCCCGGGCCGGCCTCCTGTCCCAACAGACGAATGCATCCGACCCACAGCCCACGGCCTCAAGCTTGCGACCCCACACACCACTCACGCACCCTCTCGCCACACACTAAAAACCCTGCCATCGCCGCCGCCGCCACGCGCAGAACGAGAAGGGCCGGCTGTCCAAGGAGGAGATCGAGCGCATGGTGCAGGAGAGCGAGAAGTACAAGGCGGACGACGAGGCGGTGGCCAAGAAGGTGGAGGCCAAGAACAGCCTGGAGAACTACGCGTACAACATGCGCAACACCGTGCGCGATGAGAAGGTGCGTTTTTCATTCTTGCGGCGCCTTTGCGGTGCTGCTCGTGGCTGAGCGTGGGTGGTGTCGTTTGGCATGGAGGGCTGGGGGGGTGTGGGTGCTGCCTGGGCTTGGGCGCGGGAGGGGGCTGGATTGAGCCGCCGCTGCGGCCGCCGCGTGCATCCCGCCTGCACGGTGCGCGCCCAGCACAGGAGTCGTCCTCGATGCTTGCCACACGGGTCCCCTCCAGCAATCGAGACGCTCACTCTGCCTCACCCTAACACATACCTGCGTCCCCCCCCCCCACACAGTTTGCGTCCAAGCTGAAGCCCGAGGATAAGGAGGCCATTGAGAAGGCGGTCAAGGAGACCATCGACTGGTGCGCAAGGGGGGAGGAGAGGGAGATTTTCAGCATCGAGGCACAGGGTGATCCCGCAGGGACTCCCTAGCCGCGCGCCCTCGCTGCCCTCGTCGCACCTGCTGCGATGCTGTCTGCGTCCCATAGCCTGCAATTCTGGTGTTTACAAGTTGTTGAGACCCGTGTTGTGCTGGCGCCTAGACTGACCCTCATCCCATAATCCCATGCGCCGAACCCCCAGGCTTGACGCCAACCAGCTGGCGGAGGTGGAGGAGTTTGAGGACCAGCAGAAGCAGCTCGAGGGCGTCTGCAACCCCATCAGTGAGTAAAGGGCGGGCACAGCACGCAGAGCACCGGAACTCCGTGGCGGAACCCAAATTTCAGGCTGTAATGCACGCACAGCGCTGGCGATGTTTGGGGCAGGCTGCATGTGTCCGCACCTGGTTCTTGGGTGAGACAATGGGTGAGGCGGGACCCCGGCCCCTCGCCACCATCCCTTGCTGATTGTGCGCCCCCACCGCCGCCCCGAACCGAACCGCAGTCACTGCCATGTACGGTGGCGGCGCCAGCGGCATGCCCGACGTAGGCGGCGCCGCGCCCGGCGCGGGCGGCGCGGGCAGCGGCCCCACCGTTGAGGAGGTAGACTAAGCCGCTGTGACTGTGGACGGCGGCACCGGCGGCGGCCGCGCGCGCGCGTGGCGCGACAGCGCGTGCGGGCCGTTTTGTATCATAGCGCGTGGCTTGCCGCCGGTGCCGCATACTGTTGCTAGGGTGGCTGCAAAGAGTTGGTAGGCCCCACCCCCTGTTTGCTTCCTCACTCGACTCACCCGTCAGCCTCGTAGTGCCCCGTTCGTTTGTGTTTTTGCACATAGGCACAAAGCCTGTGCCTGGCGGCGCATACGTCCCCTGATAGTTTGTAGCTGTCTGGTTTCTTTCTTCCCTTGGTGTAGGGTTGTCTCCCGCATTCGCACTGCCGAACCGCCTCTCCCTCACATTGTCAAGAGAGGAGTTGTTGAGCTGTAAAGAGCCATGCATCTGCAAGTTCATATGTCGGGTTCACTGTTGGCAGGGGTTGGAGGGGTCACAAGTCCAAGTTGCAGCCCCGCTTCACACCACAAGAGAAATTCTTCACGCAAGTCCAGTGGGAGCATGTACAGGGCACAACAAACACTTTACCAAGGTCACTTGATTAAATGGCAGCATTCAAGCCCCTTGCTGAGCATACAGCAGCTCAGAGTGTGCAGGGCACGCCAGCTTGCAGCGTTTGGCTCCGCGGCTGACATTTCACACCAACGGAGCCTCGAGAGCTGCCGCAACTCCCTTATGACCTGTGCAGTAACTTCCCCCCTCTGGCTCTACACCGCAGCTGCCAAGGGAGGAGGTGATCGAGTTACTGATCACGCAGCAGGCAGCCCGTATTGGGCTGTGCAGCCGCTCACACACACGACAAACCCCCCGCGCGAGCGGCGGCGGGCTCACCCCTCCGCCCCCGACGCCGCGCGCGCCCGCTGCTTCACCCGCATCCTGTACATGTCCAGCGCCCCCGCCCCGCCCCCC